AGTGTAAATCTTATAGTGCGTGGTTGCATCTTATTATTATTATTTAATCATGCTTACATGTTCATGACGTCTAATGTAGAGAAACTTGAGAAGATAATATACCAACATTAGCGGGAACATGTCTAAGCAGGAAGATGTTTATTGCAATTTGTCTGTGCATCGGGTGGAAACTAATTATTCAAGACAGTGCAATATCTGTGAATTATTCCCGGATGTATGGCTATTAATTTGGGATGAAAAGGATATAAAGTTTATTGTAGTGTTTGGAACGCTAAGTGGATTATCATGAGGAAAGCTATAAATATGATTTTGTTGCCATAAATTAATTGGGAACTAGTGAAAATTGGAAAAATTTAATTGATATAAACTCGACATTTGCATACAATAACCCGACATATTTTTTTATATTTATTTCCTTTGTGCAATTTAAACTATAAATTATGTAATAAATTTTCTCTTTGGCCAGAGTTTATACCATCAATATAGTGTTGTATTAACGTAGTTGTGTTAATGTGTTGAATTATTAAAAGTTTAATAGAGATTTCTGGAATTAAATGCATAAATTTACGATGATATTTACATTACGATAAAATCCTTATGAATCTCTCAGAATATTCGAAAGTCAATTTCAAATTGGATATAAAATATTATATATTCTACTTTTACTATAAAAAATTAAATAATCATTACTTTTTATAAAACGTTACGAAAATATTAAAAATTATTTCGAACATTTACGAGAGAGAGAGAGAGAATAATTTACTTAAAATTTTATTTATTTTATATTGCAAATGTCTCGAGCCTTGCTAAACATATACAAGATATTTGTTATTTAGTTACCCATCGTCTTTCTTACAACACAATGAGAACTTATGAAATAATAGAGAAGTGAGGAAAAGTTTTTATTATATTTTCTGTAGAAAATACGCGATGGTGCATATTTATTAATTTCGGGTCAAAATTCTCTTGGAGAGAGAGAAAGAAAGAGCAGAAATTTATAATTACAAATTCCGAGTATATATGTGCAAAGATGTAACGACTAAAATTTAATTCATATTATTCCAAATAAGAATCTGAACTTTTATCTATTATATTATCATAGCCCTTTGCCAGCCGCCTCCTTAATGATCATCACGATCCTTTGTATGAATAAGATGAGCGTAAAATATCACGGTACGAATCAAGTCGGTAAAGGCAAATGTAATATTTAAATGGCATCGATTTCAGCAAAAATCAGAGTAACCTTTGAAAATGAAAAGTGTAGACACCCAGAGTCTTCTGGACATATTATATATATGTCATGCACAAAGACGACAAACTCGATATGCGCGATGGATAAAAGTGAATTTCTTTTATCCCGCATTTTGCATGTGAACAAAAGAGATCCATCGGGGCAACGAAAACAACATCTACTGGATGCTGTTTTCACATTTTGTTTCACGCGCGAAACGTGAATAAATATTTTTGCTTTCGATTCCATTTGCACCTTTCGATACGAGCAGTCCTTTAATCCGATTGTTGCACAATTTCAATTACTTCTTACTTACTCGAAAAGAGGCTTATTGAATTTTTAGTGGATTGTTATTCCCGATATATTTTACAAGTGGAATTGTCGTAGACGCAGAGATATATTGAAATATCTCCCGATTGATATATAATTGTTATATTATATATTTACTTAAATTATATGGATTATTTTAATTTTATATTGTTAGTATCTATAATTCGTGGTGCTAAGAATTTTTTCATAAAATTTTAGATTTTCTTTATCTATTATTTCTCGGAATAAGTAAATATTCTTACGATGAGAGTATAATAAAATTTGAGTTTTCCCTCTCTCTAAAGCGCGACGAAATCATAATAAAGAAATAATGGAAAGCCAATTTTACGGGATATTATTTGCCCTAACATTCATTGCATACAAGGAATGTCGAAGCGAGCTTTCTCATACCGTTTATAAGCGGTTCACAAGATCGTTCTTAACGCGGAACATCGTCTGGGGAATATAATAGTGTAATAAGCGTTTTCAAATAAATTTTTATTACATTCCTTTTCAATGCACTGAACACGGTTTCTGTTTTATCAACAGTTGAGTGTTGGCCATAATATTATTCCTACAATTTTGGTTGAATTTTCTCATGCACCGTCTTATTATAATGTGTTGTTACTTCAGATTAAATTTCCGATATAGCTTATTTTATCTAATAACTTAATATCCTACATACCACACGTACATCCACACAAATAATCATTTATTAAATATTTCTTTCTATTTATCTCTACTCATCACCAATTATATGATAAGACGTGAAAATATTAATGACAAAAAAGAGCTTTGAAATTGTATATTATTCAACATTGTAATATATAAATATTACATTTTATCCAGGATCCTGTCTAAGCTATGGACATTCTTGTTGGGGAGGTACGTAGTTTTATATTAATACTTTTAATAATAATAATAATAATATATTTTTATCGTGAGAATAATATAATGTCTGCACATCAATATATCTATTTTTAATTAGTTTGTACGATGTAAAAAAATTTTAGCGCACGGGAAGCGCAGCGATGCACCCATCATGTCCATTCTGACAGCCAAGAGTTTGTTAAGCGGATCCCCGCAAAACAACATCGCGCCTTCTTCCCAGGCACAATTGATTTTATCCCGCTTAATTGCCGGACAACAACCCGTATTACCGTTGACGGATAAAGATTCCGTTAGATGGAACGACTCCCCTAATTATAAAACTTTTATCCAGTCAAAGTGGGACACGGCACTACTGAATTATGATGACACTTTATCAAACAGGTGAATTTTTTGTGGGGAATAATATAGGGAGCATCAAACAAACACAAGACTTTGACAAAAATTTTTTTACGAAAAATATACACAACATTTTTTATGATTATTTTAACTAAAAATGCTATCTATGTTTTATTTACACAAAGGCTTTTGGCGTTTAATTTATCTGAAAAATTTTAATGAACGTTCTCTTGTATCTCTTATATATGTTGTTTTTGATATATGTATATATAATATACGTGAAACATTAGAATACCCTTTTAATTAAAAAATAACAATAATATATAAATTATTTAATTATATAATTTAAAAATTAGATTCTTATGACTGAAACGTCGTATAAGTACAAGCAATATAAACTGCGATCGAATAAATGTTGAACTAAATATTTTTAAGATAGTCTAATTCTGAAGGAATAATGACAAAGTTATGTAGAATTATAAGGAACTAAGTAAGTCCATTTTACAGTTAGCGAAGAAAAAGTAGTTTTAAAGGGTAGATTTGGTTTATAAACTTTGAAGAAACTCGTTAGAAGTTTTAGGCTTTGTTTTATGAATCATTATATTCATGGTTAAATTTTGCATTTTAATTAAAAAAGACATTTTATTAAGATAATCGGTGGATGTATAACAATTTAATAGTTCTAATTTAATATTATCTAATATTATCAGTCTGTTTAGTTTTATGTAATTTTATTATTTATTCGTAATTATTTCAAATATAAAATTTCTATTCAAAAATATCTTTTTTTTTTGCAATTAAGTTGGATATTTACTCTGAAAAATAATTTATATCTTTTATAGATATAACCACACATATTACAAAAACTATTTTCAAGATTCTATTAATATATTAATAGATAGAGAGTTTTCTATTAATATATAAGAGACTAATATAGCAATCGCAACACGAATTTGCAGAATTCCAATTAACAACGAAAACGAAAACAATAAGCGCAAAATAAGCAACGCACAAGGTACAATGCGTAATATGAACGAAAAATTTGAAAACATTCCAGATGGAATCTTGCTAGTTTCAACTGATGAATACGATAAGCCAATTAATAATCCTCGAAAGTTAGACATACTCAAATTTCTGGTATGTCTTGTATTTTCATTAACAGTTACTGAATTTTTTAATTAAATTTTTCAATTTAATTTTTAATTAACGTTTTTCTAAGTATCTACTTGTTAAATATTAACGCTCATTTAACGATGCGTTTGTTTTCAGAATGAGGAAAACGGAAATACGAAATAAACGAAATGTGAAAGACTGCAAGATACATGAAAAAGAATTTTCAGAAAAAAACATCTTACAATCAAAGTAATAATATAATAATTCTCTGTAAAAACGTATCTATATGTTTTTTTATTAAATTCCTGTTTGGTTTAATGTTCTACCTGGATTAAAAAAGAAAAAACAATTTTTACTTAGAAAGCTATACTTTTCTGTAATAAAACTATCAATGATAGTAATTCTGTTAATCACGATATAATTATATAAAATGTTCAAGGATATTAATTAGAAAAATAATACAAATTTGAAGGGTGGCAATTTCGTTGATTACTACGAAATTCCGTAGTAATCATTTACTACGTTTCATTTCGACTAATGTGTGAGATTGTATATCTACTACTGATATGTATATCTACTACTATAGAGAGTGTTGGTTATCTATGTGAAACTGAAAGAGCTTTCTACCTTCTTCCTACTCTGTAAAACTATCGAATAAATCTGAAAGCCTGATTTTATATTAATTTCTGTGAAAGTCAATTACTAAATTTAAAAAGAAGTATGTTAATAAAAAATCAGATAAAAGTACATATGTATATATATAATATGAAAATATGTATAACACAGTCTCAAATATTTAATCCCGTGTTAAAAGACTCAGTGTTTGCCAATATTTATTTCATTCATTTCTTTTTACATAATAAATTAGAGTTTATAAATGCGGTTATTGACATATTAATTTAAATAATTATTACATTAAATTAATCAACATTAAGTCAAGAGAAAGATACAAAATTAATTGAATTATTATCATATTCTACGTGAACTATAAAGTAAGAAAAAATATACATTATAATAATATAACATTAAGGCATAATTTCTTACTGTATAATTATATTCGGGGTATAAAAATAATAAATAATATCTATTATAGTCGTGTAGTTCAATAACTTGATCAATTCTAATGCGGACATTTATTTCGCAAAAATAGGTCATAATGTCACCAACTGTGCCATAAATGTTTATAATGTGTTTACATACGATAAATTTTTATAGTTTATCGCCCGATTTTACAATATACTATCAACTTTTTGACAGCAGACAATAAAACAATAATTTGTTATTACGACAATGGGGAATGTTACCGACACGATTCACGCAGCGTTCGCGTTTATCTGCCGACAATAATATCGTAGAATATAGCATCCAGAAGACACAATTTCAAAAAATACTGTTTGTTTTTTGTATTTAATCCAACGGAGTTCGCAGAATGATAATGATCTAATATATAAAAACAATTTAGGTACGCAGTCTATGCGTACAAGATATTCAAATTAATATTACAAAAAACATATACAGAAAATATATTTAAAATAAAAAGAAATCTGTTATAATCTAATAATTTAAATACATAGGAGAATATATAGAGAGTTAATGAGACAACATTTTAAAAAAAGCTATATCCTCTCTTTAGCTTTGCTACAACGATTTATAACATTAAATGATATTTATAATATTAAATGGGAAATGTGATCGTCGTATTACGGAAAAAATATACAATAATAGTATAAAATGATAGTCAGAGCATAATTAAATAATTTAAATAACAATCAATTCCTTCTAAATATATACGCGCGATACGAAACTGCTTAATCTTGACGCACGTAAATAGCTCGCCTGTACACTCCCTTTATTTATTAGTGATATCTGTTTCTGTGCGATGCGGGCGACGATGAGATGCTATCTGAAAAATATAATATGCATACCATAAGATATTTTTTACTCATCATTTCTAATTATTTCTTAAATATTAATGAGTTAAAATGTCCTTTATTTTTATAGTTTCATAATAGTTGTTATTGACAACTCAAGATATACATATAGGTATCTGTTACTAATATAAAAGTTTTATCTCTTTATTTTTATTGTTGGAGGATCTTTTTTATTTATTAATTCTATGTCTCTCTCTTATTGTTAGTATTTATTCGTCTAAATCTAAACGTACCCATTGATTAAGTAAAGACGACAAGGGATAAAGATCGAATTGTTGAGTGTCTTTGCGAGTCCGTATGAAAGGTAACGACTTATCCGAACGTTCCCGAAATTCATCATTTGGAAGAACGTAGAATAATTCATTGTCATCGTTTGGCGACGGTACATTGGATTCTTGAAACTTCTGGTTACGACTTTCTTGCGTGTCGTGTCGCATAGTCGAATCGAATCTTTTACCATGACCGCCGAAACAGGAATGTCCAAATGACGCGCAGCCACCTGTATGACACATTATAATTATCGATATTAGATGCATGAATTATTTATGTAAAGGCACAATCGATATGATGTTGATTGCAAAGAAAGATAATAATTTGAAATGCGATGTTAGTTATATACAATACAATAAATTTCTAGTTAGGAATTTGCGTTCGCAAAAATGTTTTCGGACTCTTATTTGCTACGTCTTTTGTATTAAATAAATAATAATCTTTAAACAATATTTTTACAGTAAGGAATATATAATTATTTATTCATTGAAAGTCATTGTAGAGAATAAGACTTAATATTAAAACAAAAAGTGAAGAGTTATACATAAAGACCTAAAAATATTTGTTTTCAAAAACATCTTTTGTATATAGTTTTCTTGGCGTAGTCTTTTCGAAATCATACCTTTGCGAACGTAGTTATTGGTACTCCTTTGGCTAGTACTTCTTTTTTCTCGCGCTGCGAAAGAAATCAATATCTAAAAAAAAATAAATAATTTTTCGATAGTTTCGAGATCTTTTTAGGTTCCTATGTATACGATCTCTTATGAAATAATAAAAAGTATCTGATTTTAGTAACTTGTAAAATATCGGATAATCGAGAATCAGAGAAAAAAGAGACCAAAATATTTAAAACAGATAAAAAGATGCTACTGTGTATTTTCTTCGGATATCGAGATTGCATTTTGAAAAATAAATAATCATATATTCTTCCTTTATTGATACCATAAAAATTTCCTTTGATAGCCGCAGATCTTTGCCGCTCAGAATATACATACATCAATATCTAGATATATGACTCAAATGTGTCTATTTAATGAATGTTGGGGAATTTATATTTAATAGGGTTTATATCCGAATAACCAGATTTATAAAAGCTTGTATAAGCTTAAAAGTGAGATAGTTGCGCGTTGTATTTTCTATCTAGTTAATAATAAAACGAATACGCAACCGTGTTATATTCATTAAAAACGATTACGGAATATCGATAATCCAAAAATAATGAATTGTATTTCAAATAATCCAAAAATAATGGATTGTATTTCGATAATCCAAAAATAATGTATAATCTAAGTTCTTTCTATGAAGCTCTTTTTAATTATATAAACACAAATTCGCAGTATTTTATATATTTATATAGAATTGATTTCTGAGTTGAAATCTGAAAAAAATCAAACTTTCCTCTTCGATTTCGAGAATGTATTAATGTTTATTACTATATGGAATAAGCCACAATTTATCCCGTCTTTTAATGTAAATAAGTACTAAATAAGTACTTCCTGTAAAAGAGGAATTATTTATGAAATTTATTTCTCTTCAACACGAGAAATCAATTTTAATTTTCTACGCGTCTATTATCTAGGAAAAAATTTATAAAAATGCTTGTCACATAAACAAGGATGATAATTTATGAAAAGAGCACACAATGTGTTTGATTTTGAAAAGCATTCTTTGCATATAAAGAAAAATCATTTCATTAAATTTAATTTAATATACGGAAAAAAAAACAGTTTTGATTTTCCATCAAAAATTTAAAACCCGTAAAAATAATAAATACAAAAAATAATTTTTGATCTCAGAACAAATACAAGCGACGACAAAGCCAATAAAAGTGCATTAGTAACTGTGTTTCTAAAGTATTTGTAGTACAACTTCTCGTGGGAGTATCTTTATCTACAATTATAAAATATGATATACGTATATGTCACGAGAAGTGTAATGTCAATATCTTATATTGTGCTTTCATCTTTTCATCGTTGCTTGGATTGAAACATGTAGCTATTGTTTAAACAAATGTATATATACAAATATATATGAAAATTAATAAATTAATAAGAGTATAATATTTTATAATTTTTCGATCAATATTTATGCACCTATGCATTTATGCATATAATTTATGCATTTACACATGTAGCTTACGGATAAAAGTATTGTAGACAACCTTGCGTGTGTGAAATCTCAACGAGTGAATATTTAATTGGGGCCAAGCGAGAAACCGACGGGCAAAACGATAAATATATAATCCGTGATTCGTGCCGGAACTGAAATTACTCGTGAACGGTAAAGGAACAACTTGCTTTCCGCACAGAACAGCTCACTCAATTATCACCTGAAACGAAGCTGATTAATCCACCATCGGTTTCGACCTTTCTTCTTCCGAGCAATTTCGTTTCTACGTGTGCCATATTTTTAAGAGTTTTACAATGCTACGAGAGAACTCGTTGAGCGCTCACATCTTTCTTCCATTTTTTCGACATAAGTATGTACGTCACACTTGACATTGCTCCCGATAATATAACTGCAATGTAACCGCGCGCGTAATTTATTATCCACATTAAGAAGATAATATATTCGCGCGTATCAAGAAGAAATATATTCGCGCTCTCCGACCTTTTCGGTAAATGTTCGTTTGCACTTTAGCCGCGCACCTGGATTCATCATCGTACACGAAAATACGCGTCACGGTTGAACAATTCGATCTGAGCAGCCGCTGCATTTACAGTGAAATGGACTGGCGTATTACGTAATTCCATTCTACATCTATACAGTGTGAATCTACCAAAGTGCATTTCACCGTAACACCAATAGCGCGCACGAGTAAAAATTTCGATATTCTATCTATAAAAAATCGCCATTAACTCTTGTTTGCTACTAACTTTGCACCGCCAACTCTTGTAGCGATTTATATAACTTGCAATTTTTTAGTAGCATCCCAGGAATTTAATGCAGAAATATTTCTACGCGAGGCAACGGTACAAAGTACAAATTATATATTTAGAAATTTAGATTTTGGTTGTGCGTAGTTTTTTTGCGAATCGAATAACGATGCTTATCTCGTTCTTGTGTGTACATTGCTTTCATATATTCTTTCTTTTTTTTTTATATTATTTGCTTGTCTCTGTCTCTCGTATTATCTATATTTATATATCTCTATTTCATATATTTTGAATATTACAGAATTTATCAGCACATATTATCGTCATTAAATATATAAGATATCTCTCCCAGAGCTTCTCTCGGATACGTTTCGTAAATACATTCTATGTACAAATCGAATAAAGTCTCAAAATTTTAAAAAAATTTTCTTGTAGCCGGTACAACCATTTTTTTCACGTTGTGAAAAGAATAACTGTTCCAAAAATATGGGAAATTTTTTTGGAAATTTTGTATCTTTCTTTAGTTCCTATACGCTATCTACACTTCCTCGCGTTACAATTATTAAGAGAGATACAATATCGAATGTAAACACGATATATCTTTATTTTCATCATTGCTTTGACGATTCTATATGATTGGGTAACGCATTGTTATAACATACACGTTCATTTTATTTCTCGCGTAACTGTTAATTAATACAATTTGCTAGCCGCATGAAACATGTTCATTTAAAAGAACATTTGTATGCAAGAGTTGTTGCAGACAAATAATTCTGAAAATATACAATATATATATATTATATTTATTTTTCAAAATTTTAATAAGTGTTAATGTAATCTTTCTCTTTGTTAAGAATGATTTTACTTTAGGCAATTCGCAATTCGCAATAAAATGTGGAACTAATTTTTATTTATAATTTTATGTGTCGTATGTCGCATAAAATACGGTAAACATTTGAAGAGATAACATACAGATATATAAAATATACATATCGTAATGCACACAAATATGCCATACATAAAATTATGAATAGATTTTTATTTTCAATTTTATCGCAAATTATCAATTATCTGAAGTAGAATTTACTTATAAGAAAAAAATATAATAAGAAAATATAAATATCAAAAAATAAACAAAAATTTGAAGAAAAAGAAAGCAAAGAAAAATTAAATTGACACCAATAAAGCTCTATCTTTCCTTCTTTAGAACTTCGTTGCTCTTCGATGTAGATCGAAATGATGTTACGGCTATGAATAATCTAATGAGAGCCACTGAGTTAAATGCTATTTTTTTGCTTTTTTGCTTGAAGTGTTTTAACTGATGTCGATTATGTCGATGAACTAGACACTGATGTCGAAAGTAGACACACGGAAATATATTTGTCAAATTTATTTTAATATTTTTATGCATGGAACATTGAAGGATAAATCTGTAAATTTTAGTTTTGATATTGAAAATTAAACGCATCCAACTCAAAACTGATTATTGCAATAAATAAGTAAACGGTTGGTACGGCATAAATTGGAAGCTTTACGGTATAAATTTGAATAGATATATTAAGAGTTACCAAATGCACAATTATTAATAATGTATGCATTATTTGCCTGTTATATACACCTAATTAAGCTGTTTCATTAAATGTTAATTGTATTGCAATTTTCTGCGTCGGTATGACTTTTAATAAAGCGAAATGTAGTCAATTAAGTTATTAATTTTCGATATTTAGAACTAGAGTATCAAAACTAGCTCTATATAAAGTTAATTTATATACCATAATTTATATTATTATAAGATATACTATATTAACAGTACATTAACGGCTCTGTATTAACATACTGTATAACATTTAAATCAATTTGAAATTTCTGAATGTAAAATATTTTTTTATTTATCATTAAATCTATAGAAAACTAAAGCAAGATAGATTCTCCATACATATATATACACATTATATCCATAATAGAAATATTATATAACTAATAATAATTATAAAAAAATTATAGAAAAGACTAAT